AGAACTACCTGATATTTTCATTTTGAACTATAGTCATTGGTGGAATGAAAACACGAAAATATTAGAATTTCGACCTATTCATTTTCAAGAATCGAATTTTTTAACTGATATATCTTACAAATTATTCCGCAACGGATATATTATGAAGTGTAACACTGAAAATAACCAATATTTAGTTAATCGATCATCGTCATTCTTTCAGAACTTATTTGAACAATACTTCATTCGTCTCGATGATGAACCTTATGTATATATGTTAAGAGAGAATGATATTATTCATATTCATTTATCTCGATTAGGTATTGCTTTCAAATACAACTGTTGTAACAAAATAATAACTTCTCGTGAATATTCTGATATGTACATTGATGAAGATCAATGTTTCGGAACATTGACAGGTTTGAAATCAGGTATTCTTCTTTCACCAATCGCAATAATTAATCAAAAAAGTAGACATTATCTATCTCGAAAATTAATCGTTCCCTTTGGACAAATTCAAGCAATCAAGAAATCGGATGATGATCATCAAATTGTGACTATAGAACGAAAATCATCATCATTTATTCATGAATATTTTGTTTTTATTTTGAATGATCGATTACGTATTCTTCAACCAACTGATAGTCCAACAGGTTGGCTCTATTTAGCATTGTTACATGCAATGACATCGCATCCTTTACCCGACCAATATACGGGAATGACTGGTATGGAACGTTCTTATCAATTGTTGCATTCAGCAGGTTGTTGGTCTGATCAACCTTATGATTCAATTACACGAAATATTCTTCTTCAAATTGCAACTATTTCACCTAAAGTTAATTTTTATCCCGAACATCTAACTTGTATGGTAAAAATCGATTGGAACGAGAATAGTTTACCATACTCAATGCAACATTTTGGTTATTATTTGATAGTAAAAAAATTAGTTGAAGCAAGTGAAGAATGGAATTTCATGTATCCATCATTCATCTCGAATGATGAAATAGAAAAACTCTTTCAAAGCAAAACATATAATGAAAAATTATTGGCTAAACTCTATTGGGACTATCGAGATTCGTACAATCCTACAGCTCGACTATCTACACAGACGGAAAAAGAAATTTGTTGCATAAGTTCGACAGAATCATATGAACCAATCTGGGAAAGTTATTCATATTCAACGAATTATAATTCTCTTGATCTTGTATATTATTTATATGGTAGTGGAGACGTAAATTTAAAAGATAGTAAAGAACTTAGATGTTTTCCTTTGTCTCGATGGCTTAAAGATGAATATCAACTTAAAAATATTTGGATTGGTTTGTTTAAATTCGCCGAGCAGCTCAACACGATCGAAAGTGATCATAAAAAAGATGATATTGAACGATTTGAAATGTTATTAGATTTTCTGCATTACATTACAGGTAAATGTTCTACTCAACCATTTTATTTGCAGATGCTTAAATCCATATTGAAAGTACCAAATTTGCCATTGAAATCTGTTTCATACCCTGAATTTACTCGATATACAAACATTCAAGACAGTTCATTCCAATCTTATCGTATCAATCTAGGAAATATGGGTCATTATAAACGAAATATAGTTTTACAAGAAATTCAAGATTGTTTTGTTAAAAACTGTACTTATGAAAATAAGAATCTTCCGGAAATGCGAAAACTAAGCAGTCGAACGTATGAAATCAACAGGTTACTAGAATCTTGGCGAGAGAATAAAAAACTTCGTTCGTTTTTAGAAAATATTCAAAATCATTTTCGTTCTATCACAATTATTCCATTGAATATCAATATGTCTGTTAGTCCTCAACAATTTGAATTCGAATTATTTGAAAAACATTATCAAATCCGTCTTAATCTGACAGATCAACTCATCAATCAAAAATTGTTGAAGAGTGCACAAGAAAAATTTCTACATCCTCATTCAAATTATTTTATTAAACCAAAAATGTGTGTTCCAATCATAAATGAGCAAAAAGAATTTCCACAACAAATTTTTCCTTCTGCTGACTCTCAAGTCAATCCTCTCAATGATATTGCAAATTATTTTAAGGAACACTTAACTGAAAGTTGGAAGAAATTTAATTTGACTGAAGAATATGAAAAAGAGTTTCCATCGATGGAAGAAATCAATCAATTTCTTGATTCTTTTCGTCAAGAATCCATAGAGTGGTGGGATGAATTAGTAAAGTCCATTACAATAACAAACAATTTGCTGGTCAATATGGGTTTAGTATCACGAATCTTACCGACAACTTTGATATCTGTTTTTCAACAAATATGGTTAAATGATAATGGATCAAATATATTATCCGTACAGTTGACACTTGAACAACGTACACTACTTGGTGGAATAATGGTTAATTGGATTGTAGAGCAGCAAATCGAGAGAGCTTTAAATCTTGCCAATCAAGAAAAGTGGGAAGATTTTGAAAAAGAAATATTAAACGTACCTCATACTAATTGGACACCATCAGAACATGTTCCATGGTTAATACTAGAACTTGAAATGAATATTACAATTCGAGAAATACAAGTTCAAGTAACACGTCATATGATACAACCAATGTTAAACGAAAATAACTCTTCAGTACGAAATATTGTAATGCAAATGAATATGGGTGAAGGCAAAACTTCAGTTATTTTACCAATGTTAGCACTCAGCTTATGTTCATCATCTTCGAGTTTAGTTCGTATCATCGTATTGAAAGCATTATTTCCAATGAATTATCAATCATTACGATATAAATTAGGTGGTCTACTAAATCGACGTGTAGCGCCATTTGCTTGCCGTCGTGACATGAACTTTAGTTATGCACAAGTGAATCAAATTTCCGATCGTCTCAAACAAGGATTACACAATTTGGATATTGTATTAACATCACCCGAAGATGTTTTATCTTTTGATTTGCTTACAATAGACAAATGTCGACGAAATGAATTAGATACTGGTCGTTCAATGCTGTCGATTCAAAGTTGGATGAAAACATTTGCTCGTGACGTTTTAGATGAATCTGACGAAATTTTACATGTTAAATATCAATTAATTTATTCGATCGGTCGTCAACAACAGGTTGACGGAGGTGTAGAACGTTGGAAGACCATTCAATATGTACTGAATTTAGTCAAACAACATGCTGCGAATATTGCACAGCAATATAATGATGATGTTTTTTACAAAGCATCAGACCGTCAAAGTAGTTTTCCAGAATTACGTCTGCTTAATCATCGACCATTTTTAGAATTATGTCGAAGAATAGCAAATGATTGGATAAATCAAAAAAGTTACCGTCAACTAGATCAACAACTTATTTTATCATTCATATTGGATACGAATTCATCGGTCAATAGTCTAGTCGATCAATTTCCTCATAATACAATTCAGTTATTTTTGATTATACGTGGTCTTTTATCATCTGAAGTGTTATTTGTTGGCTTAAAAAAAACGTTATCGTGTTAATTTTGGTGTGAATCAAAATACAAAATTCGATCGTTTAATGGCTGTACCATTTCGTGCAAAAGATGTTGCAGCTGAAAATACAGAATTCGGACATCCAGATGTGGCTATTCTCTTAACACAAATTTCCTATTACTATAAAGGATTGACAGATTCACAAATGCTTCAATGTTTTAATCGTTTGAGTCAAGATGAAAGTGATCCGGAAATGATCTATGATCAATGGATTTCATTGGAAGAGGAAAACGATATCATTGCAAGTATAAGACAATGGAAAAGAGTCAATCTAAAAGATTATCAACAACGAACTCAACTACTCTTACCGACTTTACGATACAATATGCTAGTTATAAATTATTTTCTCAATCATTTTGTTTTTCCTCAAGAAGCAAAACAATTTCCACAAAAATTAGTTGCTTCTGCTTGGGATCTATCTTCATCTTCACGAGAAAAAATAATCACTGGATTTAGTGGTACAAATGATACTCAATTATTATTACCTGTTCACATTCGTCAATGTGATTTACCAGAACTTCAAAAAACAGACGCCATTGTTCTTAATAATTTACTGCGGCCAGAAAATGATCGTTATCAATATTTACCAATTAGTACGAGTTCTGATGAAATCTTGAAAAGAATTGTTATTAGCCAACCAATAACTCAAGTCATTCTAGATGTTGGTGCTTTGTTCATAGATGGAACTAATCGTCAAATAGCTGTCAAATGGTTGGATCTATCGGATAAAACAAAAATTGATTATGTAGTGTATTTTGAATCGGATTCAATATTCGTTTGTGATCGTCAATATCA